CAGAGATAAAAAGCTGATCGATTAACAAGGTGACAAGCGATAGAAGATAGAATTCAAAGATTTCAAGCAACAATCGGATACAAACGGTCGTTCGAACTAAGAATACTAAACAAGAGTCAGCCTTCGTTAGAACTTAGAAGACAGCAAAGATTAAGAAGAATAAATCGAGATCGAAAGAAGATTGATTATTCACAGAATGTTGGGTCTAATTTAAGTAGGGAGGTGTTGTAAGTTTTAGATTCGTACTTTATATTTAATTTGCATAAATAATTCTGTTGGATTTTGTGGTATATTTTAGCTTCGTACTTTATATGTAATTTGCATAAAGAATTCTTTTGGATTTATTATTATAACGCGTGATAAAATAGATTTGAATAGTTATGAATATTAGTTATAAAGAAGATTGAAAAGAATATAAAAAGGCCAATTTTTACGATACAAAGCGATCTTATATAATTATTAATTTTTTGTATTTTTTATTTTTTATTTTATTTTTATTAATCTTTTTTTTATTATTTTTACTTTTATAATTTTGTTAATTTGATAATGTTATAATTTTGAATAAAGAATTAAATTGATTTCGTGATTCATAATTATTATTAATTTCTTTTTTATATATATATTTGTTTTCTATTTCATATTTAGGTTTTGAGTCCAATATCAAATCTCTCTTTGTGACAAAAACAACAAAAAAAACATTACCAAAAAAACTTAAAAAAACGGACAAAAACGAAAATAAAATACAAATATAACAATGCCACCATTAATTATTACTTGCTAGTTTTTCGTTAATATTATCCAAATAAATAAATTTTAGATAAATTTTTATTCATATTTATTATTTGTATAAATTTAAAAAAAATCAATTTTTGTAAATGACCAAAAATGATTTAAAACACTATTTTATTTTTGCATTAGTAGCTTATGTTATTTTCTTCTTCAAAACTTAATTTATTTATATTTTTTATCATTTGGACAGCCCAAATAAAGAAACAATTGAACCAAAATTAAAAGCAACTATAAAAAAATTAAATAAAACTTTATAATTTGGCATAAATATTTTAGCCCTATTTTTGATTTCATAAAATTAATTTTAATCTCTCACTTATTTACATCCTCATGTTAACAGATAGACACTTAGATTCTCCTTAATGAATGATACACCGCATATATAAAATCTTGACTTGGATATGATTTATCAGGTATTTAAAATGTTAATCGACAGGTTTATTAATTCATCATTATAATTACAAATACCATATAAACATTTTATTTGATTAGTCGAATTAGGTAAGATATTAATTAACTTGTGGCTTAACTGTATAATTATTTTGCATCATTGTTTGAAACCACAACCAGCGTTGTTACTTGATATTATAGGTCGAGATTTTATTAATTACTTATTGTGTAATGGTTCATTTTAGGAAATAATCTAAAACAGATTAAAAGATGTCGATAAATGGTATAATACATTAGACATTCGTAAAAGTGGTTAGAGTCGCTGAGTGGACAAATGGTTACAACATTCTGGGAATGACGAGTAAAAAAATAAGCTGAGATTAAAATTCGGATTAAGAGTTAAGTTTCCACGGGGCGGTTCATTCACCCATAGGATTGGGGATAAATAAAGAAAGAATATGAAAGCTAGAGCGTTCCCTTTTCGAGACCGATATGCATAGTGTAGACATGCATCATGTGAATCAAAAATTAGTCAAGATTAAAAAGACATGAATAGCGAATCCAAACATTGAAACCCTTAAAGCAAGACAAAAAATTTGTAGCCATGATGGATAAAAAAAAGTCTAACATAACATATGTATAAAGGAAAACGTATAAAGATAAGCAAATGATAGGAAATGACTACAAACTGTTGTATAAGAACTGGCAAAGAATAATAATGGTGTCAAATCATCCAAAGCATCCTTAATAAACTAAACTAACATCGATATATGTTGAAGTCTATAGAATCATCTATAGACATATTAATAAAATTTTGCCTTCAATCAAAACCTTAGATCCTTTAGTGTAGGCTTAATAAACAGCAAAGGCGAAGGAATTTTTTTATAGGAATGTCTTAAACAAAACTATAATTGAGACGTCTAAAATCCAAATTTTGATATTATGCAGAGAGTTAAGCTCTACATGGAAAACTAGAAACGATTTTTAAAGAAACAATGCTGGTTGATATAGAAACTTAAGTACTAAAAGAGTGAGAATAGTAATTACAACTATGATAAATAAATAAATATGACAATATTAGCAATTTATATTGTAATAAAAATATAAACCTGTTACAAAATACCTTAGTCGTATTAACAAATAATATATATATATATACTAGGAAGGTGGAGTAAGATTATTATTTTTTACTTATAAGGTCTCAATGAATAAATTAATATCCCATATCAAAATGAAAACGTGAAATAATTAAAAATTAAATATCTATAACATAAATTAAATTGGGTGCATAGAGGATCTAAATAAGATATATTTTCCTGATAAATCATCTATCATCAAAATTACATAAAATATAATTTTACTAGTAATGGAGTTCTACATTGCCTATTCAGCAATGATCTAGTATCTCAGGAGTCAAATAAAGTTTTAAAGATAAATCACTGAATAAACATTCTTCAAATACAAATAAAAATGTGTTACAGTTTAAGAGTATTTCGTTGAAATTCGAAGTATTCATGTTGTATGAATATATACATAAAGAGTTTGAAAAGTGTAAAAAAATAAAATAAATCAGGAATGAATTATAAATTATTATACATATTTGCGGAATACCGATTAAATGAGTGAATTTAACCTTTTATCCTCAACTTCTCATTTAAACGGTTTAAACTATGATGAGCTATCTTATTAGTAGGGGGTGGGGAGGGTCTTAAAAGAATATTAGGAGGCGGGTATTTTGATTTAATATAATTTTGATAAAGGACGGGTTAGGGTACCCTCAATTCCTATATTTTTATTTTACATATTTTTTTCTGTCACATTTGAACGCCTACTAGACTTCATATTTATGAAATTCTTAATCGGTTATAAAAAAAACAAAATATTTTACTCCAAAAGAATTAATATTATGAAAAGAATCTATAAATGTAATGTGTCAGACATTTGATTCTCTATATCAATTAAAACTCTAACCGTGATTCTGAAAGAGATGAAAGAATTTTCTAAATATCTTACTGGATAGTTTGCTACAAATATATGGATATAATTTTATACTTTGGTGAAGTTTGGCTCCTAAATGAATCACTTAGCTTAGCAAAAATTTTCATAACTAATACAATTGTTTCACATCTTAATGTATAACTGATATATTGGAAAAGGGAGAAAACTTTAATATTAATATAACAGTGGTGTTAATTAGTGTTGTTAAACGGCTCGATTTGACCCAATTTTCGACTAATTCCATATTTCAGCCAGAAAAATATTACATAAGCCTTGATATTATGACATTAATTTAAGAGAATTATAAATTTTAGAATTATACATAAAATTCATTTTACTCTAAGCGTTAATGTCAAAATATCTCATAGAAAAATATCAATGGATAAATATATAGAAATTCGTATCAAATTTCGCTCATTTGGTAGAAATTTTGAGTGCTACTTATTTTAAAAATTTTTTAGTTACGAATTACAATTGATTTACCAAAAAAATATAAATAAAAAAATTCTTAATGTTTGGCGAATTTAGATCAATGTTTGAGCTATTTTCGTTACATATATACTCCTTTAATATAATAATATTCTGTAATCATCTATTGTGAACTTTTTAAGTTATTATTATATGAATAAATTAAAATTAAATAAAGGTTCCTCAAATAAATTGAAGAATAAAGTAAAATATAAATATTTGTTGGGGTAATGTAAAAAAATGTTTAAAAACAGTTTTTCTCAAAATTTTATAAAATCATTTTGTAGGTATGCTGATTTGATAATGCAAAAGGATGAATTGATTCTAACTATATTTGTCTTGTGAAAAATCCCTTTAGATATAAATCAAAACAGTAAATGGTAGAAATAGGTGTATTTTTTAAATTATCTTACCTTAAGCAACCAACCCTAAATTTAAGGAGTTATTTTTTAAAAGCACATTTAAAATTCATCTTGAATCACTAAAAATGAAAATATTTTAATTATTGCATGAAATATATTAACATTAAAATAATAAATAATTGTATTATTCATAATTTAGTGATTTCATTTGTAAATTTAAAATTAATTTATTAAGTAGATTAATAAAATTAAAATAATATTGGTACTTATAAATTTAACCCATAATCAGTTTATAGCTTATATAAATGATTTTTATATAATATATGAATTAAGTTAGAGCATTATATTTAGTAAACCATATTATTTTCTTTATTATAATTATTTGGTCTTTTATAATTTTTATAGATTTTAGGATAGATTTTGAATTGTCAATCAAAATTTATAATACGATTTTTATCTAGGCTATATATAAAAAATTATTATCTAAGTAATAAATGATGATGGGTTACAATTATAGATACTCCAAATGTTATTTAATTAATTGACTTAATAAATTAAATTTAAATATGCAATAAAATCAGTGAATTATAAATGATATTGTAATATATTTTTAGAAATCATTTTTTTTATGAAAATATATATTATTTAAAAATTTTTTTTTTGAATACACAAGGTTTTAATGACAAAGTAATAAATATTTAGAACATATTAGATATTATAACTTATTATAAAAAACGGTTTCAATTATCACACAGTTGTATAAAATGAAAAATATATAATTAGTAAACGATTACGAAAAAAGCATAAATTTATATTAAAATAACATGTGGAAAATATTTAATTATATTGAAATTTAAAAGTATAAAAAAAAATTAAAAAGGAGAATGCTAAATAAAAAATTCGGGCTACGAATTTTTAAACATTAACAGATAAAAGAACAAAAAGCTACACATCACAAAATGTTCTCTAAAAATATATAAGAATAATACAGTAATGTATATGGGCCATACAACAATGGTCTGTAGCACAACTGGTATCAACAGCTTCACAATAGCCGAGGGAGTTTATCGAGGGTCGGCTATCAGCCCACTTCTCTTCATAACAGTAATAGTTGTATTAGCACAGTCTATACCACAAACAGTCAGGTGGAATATGATTGCAGATGATATTCTCGCCGAATCCAAGTAAGAAATGAAAGAAAGATTAGTGAGTTGGATAATCCTAGAAAAGCACGGACTAAAAGTTAATAGAGTAAAGACGGAGTATATGGTGATAGTAGGAGAAGAAATAGAGAGCATAAATGAATGATATCGGCAATTGAAAGCTGCAAATATTTGATCTCTACTAAACAAACAAACGGCACAATAGAGAAAGAGATAAAGAGTAAAATTAATCAAGGGTGGCTAAAGTGGAGATCTTTATCTAGAGTGCTCTTTGACAAAAGAATCCTATACAAATTGAAGGGAAAAATTGACAGTTCCATAGTACAACCAACTATTCTATATAGTTCGGAAACATGGTCAACAAAAGAATCAGACGCGAGAGTCTACAAGGCCAGAGATGCAAGCCCGGCCCTAAACCCGAAAATTTTTTTTTAAAAACCCGGGCCGGGCCGTATTTTTAAAAAAAATTTATACAACATGAATTATTATATTCGTCAATTAGATATGGTTATAATGATTATATATAGTTATAATTAATATAATGTTTGGTGAAAGTTGCTAGCTAACACTCATAGTATCTATCTATATATATAATAGCCATATTCAAGAAATGAACGTTTTCGTATCTTGGTAATGTTAAATTTTTTTTGTATCAACTTTCATATCTTCATAACGTTAATTTTTTCACTTTCCTATCTCATAATGTTAAAATATTTTTTTTCCATCAACTTTCCTATCATCTTAATGTTAAATAAATCGAGGGCTATTATTATCTCGCTAATGTTAAAACTTTTTTTAAAAATTTTTTTATGGCAAAACAGAGATTCGAACTCGCGACCTATCGTTCGGAAGGCAAACGTTCTTACCATTGAGCCCCCCCCCCTTCAATATTATATTTTGATATATTTGTGTATATATATGAAGCTTTATATACTTTGCGCATGCGCCTAATTTTGACGTAATTTTTGAATTTCTCACCAATATATTTTTACCGTTTTTCAATTAATTATACCGCCAACAATATTGGAATCTCTTGAAATGACATTAGCTACCCATTTTTATCATGCTTCCTTCATTCTTGATTAAAATTTTAAAAGTAATTATTAAAATTTTGATCTTATAACTATTCTTTAAATTATATTTAGCTATTTGACAAACAAAAATAAATCTCACAATACACCCTGACATTAGCTACCCATTTTTATCATGCTTCCTTCATTCTTGATTAAAATTTCATAAAAGTAATTATTAAAATTTAGATCTTATAACTATTCTTTAAATTATATTTAGCTATTTGACAAACAAAAATAAATCTCACAATACACCCCAAACAATATTGGAATCTCTTAAAATGACATTAGCTACCCATTTTTATCATGCTTCCTTCATTCTTGATTAAAATTTCATAAAAGTAATTATTAAAATTTAGATCTTATGATCAGGCCGAGCCCAGGCCTGCAATAAAATTTGTTTTAGTTCAATGTCTGACTCATAGTTAATAATAAAAAAATTCCCAAGCCCAGCCCCATAATTCATTTAAAAATACAATCAGAATATGAAAGTCGCATAGGCCTTGGTTTTTTGATAAGGCCTGGCCATGTCTGCGAAAAAAAATTTCCTGGCCAATGTTATCTCTATTTTAAATTTTACTTAATATGATATCTATCACAATTTTAAATTTTATTCTAAAATCTAAATATAAAATTTAATTTAAGACATTGTTATTAAATTACAATAGAAATAAATGGAATATAAAATTAAATTTAAGAAATTGTTATTAAATTACAATAAAAAATAAATGAAAATTATATAAAAGTTGCATTGGACTTGGTTTTTTGATCAGGCCTGGCTATGTCTGCAAAAAAAAATATCAGGCCAATGTCTATATCCCATATTTAAAATTAAAAAATTTTCAAGAATCTCTATTTTAAATTTTACCCAGATATTTCTAATACCCATAATGCTCGCGGGTTACATTGCAACAATTTTACCTCTTTTTCTCTTAAATTTTAATATTTTTATAAAATATATTAATAAAGCATATTTCGTATCATATACACCTAACTAATTAGTAATTACCCACAATAGAAATAAATGGAAAATAAAATTAAATTTAAGACATTGTTATTAAATCAAAATAAAAAAAATGAAAATTTTATGAAAGTTGCATGGGACTTGGTTTTTTGATCAGGCCTGGCTATGTTTGTAAAAAAAAATTTTCAGACCAATATCTATATCCCATATTTAAAATTAAATTTTCAAGGATCTCTATTTTAAATTTTAGCCAATATGATTTCTATCACAATTTAAATTTTGATATTTCTAATACCCTTAATGTTCACGTGTTACATTGTAACAATTTTACCTCTTTTTCTCCTAAATTTTAATATTTTTATAAAATATATTAATAAAGCATATTTAGTATCATATACACCTAACTTAATAATTACCCATCAACCCGTCATTCTAATTTAATTAAGTTAATTTTATAAAAAAAAGTTTCATATATATACAAATATATCAAAATATAATATTGAAGGGGGGGGGGGGGGGGGGGGGGCTTAATCTTCCGAACGATAGGTTGCGAGTTCGAATCCCAGTGTTGCCATAAAAAAATTTTTACATTAAAGAGATAATAATAGCTCTCAATTTATTTAACATTAAGATGATTGATAGGAAAGGTGATAGAAAAAAGATATTTTAACATTAGGAGAAAGGAAAGTGATAAAATTAACGTTAAGATGATAGGAAAGTTGATAGAAAAAAAATTAACATTACCAAGATACGAAAACGTTCATTTCTAGATTTAGGAATTTTTTTGTGTTACCAGTTATTTGAAAATAATATTTAATTTTTATTCTTTGTAACGTTAATAAATAGAATACTATGGAAAATAGACAATCTCCCAAACAATTAAAGGAAAGTATCCGCAAATTACGGAATCACATAAAATCCAAATATAATAATCCTAAATTAGTTTCATTAACTACAACTCATAATCCTAATTCAAATTTATATCTCCCAATTGATTTATCAATTAAAACTGCTATGATTAGCGCATGCATAAGCCGTTTTCATCAAAAAATTAAACAAATCTTCCCTACCACTTACACTTCTATTTTGGGAAATAGAAAAAGATTAAACATAACAAAAGAAGTTTTATTTTCCAATAATTTAGATAAAATATTTTTATTTTAAGGAAAGTGGTCGTAAAGTGCGAAGTCATATAAAATCCAAGAAACCCAAACCTATAGTAGCTTTAGTACCTACACCTCAAAGTATTAATTTAAATAAACCTTTTCCTATTGATATATCAACTAAAACTGCTAGGATGCGGGCATGTGCTGCCCGTTTTCGTCTAAAGCTTAAACAGATTTTCCCCACCACCTATACATCTATTCTTAAAAATAGAAGTAATTTAACACATTTTAATACTAATGATATTCACTTAATAACTGAACATACTTGCGGGCCTATGAATATCATATGTCAATTTTGTTTTTCCATGAATTTCATAGCTGAGAGACCGACCGACGGTAAATTCACACAGTGCTGTCATAAAGGGAAGGTTATCCTTACCCAAATACCATATCCTCCTTATTTAAAAAATCTTATATCAAACCCTCAAGATAAGTTACATAATAATTTTATGAAGAACATACGTTCTTATAATTCAGCAGTAGCTTTTGCATCGATGGGCGCAAAAATTTCGGAGCTTACAGGTAGTGGCCCTTATTGTTTCAAAGTGCACGGCCAAATATATCACCGCACATCTAATTTATACCCACCTTCTAATGCTTTGCCTACTTATGCCCAGTTATACGTGTTAGATACGACACAGGCTATAGATAAGCGTATACACCATCCAGCAAATAGTAAATGTAATAAAGATATTATGAAGCAATTAGATCAGTTAATACGACAAATTAACCCCTATGCTCTTAGTTTTAAGACATTAGGTGAAGTCCATCAATCTGCATTAGAATTAGCAACTACTTCTAATACAAAACTCCCAACCATTAATATGATCTTTAAAGGAGATCGTTCTAGCGATCGACGCCGTTATAATTTACCATCTATGGATGACGTAGCTATGATTTTCAATAATGAAGATGGAGAGCCTCCTTTCAAAAGAGATATTAAAGTCTATCCTAAATCTAATGACAACGATCTCATTATTCTTAATGTATTGAGCCCAAATTTAGACCCCATGGTTTATCCTTTACTATTCCCTCATGGTGAACCTGGTTGGTCTCCTAATATGATCGCTGATGGGTTCGAAAATAGGGCTAGATCTAAAATATCTATGTTACAATTTAAAATTGCACGTTTAGCCGTGCGCCATAATATTTTTAATCCTCTTCTTAATGAAGGACGTATAACGCAACAATATATAGTAGACTCATATTTACAAGTAGAGGCCAATAACATTAACTATATAAAATATAATCAGAATAAGCTTCGTGTAGAAGAATATTCAGGTTTAATGGATTTTTTAGTAACTTCATGTTCCACTTCAATAGAATCTCCAATAGGCCGCCCTATTATTCTACCTTCCTCATTTCAAGGGTCTCCCAGGAATATGCAAGAACGGTATCATGATGCTATGACTATTGTTTTAAAATATGGTAGACCTGATTTATTCATAACTTTTACTTGCAACCCTACTTGGTCAGGAAATAAGTGAAAATACTGATAGACCAGATATAGTATGTCGAGTTTTTAAAATAAAATTAAATGCATTTATATCGGATATCCTTAAGAATAAAATATTTGGGACATCTTTAGCTTATGTGTATACAATTGAATTTCAAAAAAGAGGCCTACCACATGCCCATTTGTTAATTATATTGAGTAAAGAGAATAAAATTGAAACATCGGAGGCAATAGATAACTATGTTTCAGCTGAAATACCTGATAGGCTAACAAATCCAAAATTATTTGCTATTGTAACACGCTGCATGATACATGGCCCCTGTGGCATAATAAATCCCCAATCTCCGTGCATGGATAAAGGCATGTGTACCAAAAATTTCCCCAAGGATTTTCAAAATGCCACCAAATCTAATATTAATGGCTACCCCTCATATAAAAGAAGGAATTTGGCTCCAATTTTAATATCTAAGAAATGGGTAGATAATAAATTTGTTATCCCGTACAATTCTTATTTACTACTAAAATATAATGCGCACATAAATGTAGAAATTTGTACTTCAATTAAATCGGTTAAATATATTTTTAAATACGTATACAAAGGGTATGATTGTGCTAATGTAGTTTTAAATGTCGATTCTCCCCCTACTAAATATGACGAAATTAATAATCACATAAATGCACGCTATGTAAGCTCATGTGAAGCTATGTGGCGCTTATTAGAAAACCCCATGCATGATCGTTCTCATGCAATTATCCGTTTAGCAGTACATATGCCATTTAAACAGTTAATTTATTTCCAACAAGGACATGAAAAGTCGGCCATGGAAAGAGCTATTTATAAAAATACAACCCTTACTGCTTGGTTTATTTTAAATCAACTTTCTCCTTGCGCTAGACAATACCTTTATGGTGATATACCCTACCATTATATTTTTATAAATAATGCCTGGCAAGAACGTAAACGTGGCCATAAATCTATTATAACACGTATGTATTCTACAGATATCAAATGTGGGGAACGCTTTTATCTTCGTCTACTTCTTCTCCACGTGCCTGGAGCTACGAGCTTTGAGTTTTTGCGAACTGTAGACGGTATATTATTAAACACGTTTAAAGATGCCGCTATTAATAGATCATTATTATGCGATGATAACGAATGGGAAAAATGTCTAGATGAGGCCTCTCTATTTCAAATGCCATCTCAATTACGCCACACTTTTGCTTTTATATGCGTTTTTGGCCATCCTCAAAATCCTACATCTTTATGGTTGCGTATAAAACCTTTATTAATAGAAGATTTTTTGCAATATAATAATGAAATCATAGCAACCAATTTGGCTTTACATGATATTTTAACAACTCTCAGTGTTCATGGGTACAATTGTAAAGATTTTAATCTTCCTACTCCTGACCCTATCCCTCAATCTAATTTATATGATGCTATAATAGAGGCAGATACTGCATGTGTAATGGTAGCTAATCTTAATTTATTACAGCGTAACGCTTTTGATAAAGTTATCCAGGCTATTGCCGATCCCTCTTTTACACCTAAATATTTTTACATAGATGGTCCCGGTGGATCAGGCAAAACATATCTGTACAATACTCTCATGCATTATCTTAGAGGACAACATAAAACTGTCATACCATTTGCTACCACAGGTATATCTTCTATCCTTCTTATAGGTGGAAGAACTATCCATAGTGGTTTTAAACTTCCAGTACCAATTTTAGATACATCCGTTTCACGCATGAAAACTAATTCAATAGAGGCTCAGAACCTTAAAAATGCACACTTAATAATTATAGATGAAGTAAGTATGATGACTAAACATGCTTTACGGTGTATAGATTTATTACTTAGAGATATTATGCAAACATCCAACCCCTTCGGTGGTAAGGTTATCTTATTAGGAGGAGATTTCAGACAAACACTTCCTGTTATACCTAGAGGTACTAAAACATCTATATTAGAATCGTGTATAAAATGTTCACCTCTATGGCATATTTTTTTGCAACTTAAATTAAAAGATAATATGAGAATTTTAGACGATGATTCTGAGTACAATAATTGGCTCTTACAAATTGGCGAAGGGAAAACACCAACCTTATCCCCCCTTACTTCCGACTATGTTGAAATTCCTCTAACAATGATAGAGGAATCTTTAATATATTCTATATATGGCGATTTCAATTTACTTAATAATGTTGAATACCTAGCGCAACGTATTATTTTAACAACAAAAAATAAAGTATCATTGGCATTAAATAATGATATAATTTCAAAATTACCATCTCCAATTAAACATTACTATAGTTCAGACTCATTAATTTCAGATAACGTTGATGATTCTAATAATTACCCCATAGAATTCTTACATTCACTAACACCTTCGGGCATGCCTCCTCATATATTATCCCTAAAGGTCGGTACTATCGTAATTCTTCTACGAAATTTGAATCCTTTACGCGGATTGTGTAATGGAACTCGCTTAATAATAAAAGGCATGCATATATATTTTTTGGATGCTGAAATAATTACAGGCATAAACAAAGGTTACAGAGTTTTTATACCTCGCATAGATTTAGCGCCAAGCGAATCACAACTACCTTTCGTATTAAAACGTAGACAATTCCCAATTATCCCAGCTTTTGTAATTACTATTAATAAAAGTCAGGGTCAAACATTTGATCATGTAGGTTTATATCTACCAGAACCTGTGTTTTCTCATGGCCAACTTTATGTTGCTTTAAGTAGATGTACTTCCAAAAAAAATAATAAAGTTATGATTGCTCCTACAAAAATGCAAGGAAATTTACTCTCTAATAAAAAGATATTCACACAAAATATAGTATACACCTCAATTATATAATAATCTATTATGGTGCCAATGAAATAAAGATTTATCCACTCCTAAGTAATAATAACAATATAGAGTTATAAATATACTTTAATTATATTTCTCTATTTGAAAAACAACCATATAGCTCATAATACGACCCCAAACTATACCAATTTCATAAAAGTATTTAATAAACAAAAATAATTATCACAATACACCCCAACTATGCCAACAATATTGGAATCTCTTGAAATGACATTAGCTACCCATTTTTATCATGCTTCCTTCATTCTTGATTAAAATTTTAAAAGTAATTATTAAAATTTTGATCTTATAACTATTCTTTAAATTATATTTAGCTATTTGACAAACAAAAATAAATCTCACAATACACCCCAAACTATGCCAACAATAATGGAATCTCTTGAATAGCTACCCATTTTTATCATGCTTCCTTCATTCTTCATTAAAATTTCTCAAAATATTGTATACACCTCAAATAAATAATATCCCATTCACCATCGCTAAACCATCTTCATCACCAACAATAGTAAATTCTATTTTGTAATTACAATTTACACGTTTTATTTCAGGTTATTTACGGCAAACTACGTGCAAGGGAATTACAACATCATCTTCAAAAACGACACCACATTGAACAAAGAAAAGAAAACTTCTTCACCATCGCTAAACCATCTTCATCACCAACAACAGTAAATTCTATTTTATAATTTCAATTTACACGTTTTATTTCAGTTTATTTACGGCAAACTACGAGCCAAGGCAAAACATTAACAAATAAAAGTCAAGCTTACATCCCTCTCAATTTTGAAAATATTTTAAATCTCCTTTTTTGGTAAAATTTTTGATATTATAAATTTTATTATATTATATTTTTATATGGCTACAAATGCATATGTGTTGTAACCCGATAATCATCAAGTCTTGAAGTATAAATATTTATTATATTTTCTTATAATTCATATCTTTGTCTCTTTTTTTCTATTTCTTCTTTCTTTTGTTCATTCTTTTTCTCATATCTTTGCTCCCCTAAAATCCATCTCCTACCTTCACGCGGTGGGGAGTGAACATCAGACTAACAGGAGCTCTGGTAAATAATGATAGTATTTAGGGTGCTAATAAGAGATATTGTTTCATTAAAAATAATATTCCCCGTCATTTTTGACGGGTTATCAACTAGTTACATAATAAAATTATAGTTTTCCTGCCATGGAATAAATACGCAAAAGATTAAATACATTATTTTATAATATATGTTTATTTTTTATTAATAAAATATCATTTTTATTTTTTTTATAAATACATGGTATATTCTCAAAATATTATTTATACAAATTTTTTATAGTATCAATTTGTAATATATTAAATATCTGTTTAGAATAAAAAAAAAATAAAATATGTTAGTGTTGTTAAACGCCTCGTTTTGAGCCGATTTTTAAAAACGTCTAACTCAGTTTTTAAACAGAAAAATATTATGCAAGCCTGAAAATTTTGCTCATAAAATGAGCAAAGGTCTAGATATATAGTATCGAAATTTCGAGACGAGCCGTTTAACAACATTAGCTAATATACGTGCTTATTAAATGATAATACTCGCCGAAAAATATGATAAAATATGAAATAATCAATTTTTTGTATATACCAGGTCAAATATAATTTTAAAAAATTCCCAGCCGGGCCTAAAAAATTTTTTTTAAATATCCGGGCCGGGCCTAAAATTTTAAAACCCGGAAAAACAAATCTGGGCTGGGCCGTACAAATGGTACCTCTGCAAGTCTCTGCTACAAACTATGGAGATGTGAATGCTGAGGATGATTGCTGGAGTAACAAGAAAGGATAAGGTGCGAAGTACAAGAATACTAGAAAGTTTAAAGGTCCCATTAAGACTATGATAATGGTATTCAGACTTAGGTGGCATGGGCACACAATGAAGGAGGCCTATGAACTACATAGGAAATAAGGTTGAGAGTTTGAAAGTGATGGGCAGACTTAAAAGAGGAAGGCCAAAACTTCAAGGGGGCCATAAAGTTAGAGCCAATATAAATAAGTATAAATTAAATAAAAGAGATAGCATGAATAACATAAAGTGGAGAGAGATATTGAAAGAGCTTACCACCAGAAAAGGTGAAAGCTAAAGAGAGATAAAAAAATTGGATCGAATTATTGTGATAGCAATGTTTTGTTTTAGTTTATAAAAATGTGAGACATGTGCTTTTTTTCTTATGGATTTCGAAACCGTTTTGAAAAGATTCAAAGCGGCGTGCCTAAATGAGCAGGATGATGTAGTTACGATGGAAATGAAATGTTTATCTTTTATTTACTCAGCCCTGAGATGAGGGTTATGTATATTATTAGAAAGTTTTTTTTTGCCGTTGGCAGGTTTTTTTTATCTATGTAGAAAGTGGGTTCAAGAAAGCACGGGAGATTAATCTTACTGGGAAATTTAGCAATAAGTGTATTTATTTTGTTGTAGATTAATTTTTTATACTAATTTATAATGAAGCGCATGGTATCAAAAACAGTCTGCGAATTGATTACATTTGTTGCAAGTGTACTGGTTTAATAGAGGTATGTCCAGGCTGAAACTGGTTAAATAACGAAAAGATTCGTTATCTAAGTTGATTATTTAAGATACTGGGAGTGAAATTAATGTACTGAGGAGGGATTTGTATTGATGACCATCGCTTAAGTTAAGGTAAGCTAAGGAACGAGTAAAAATGGTAGATCCCGATCAGATATTAAATGATTAAATAGGGGATTATTGAGTTAAAATATTTAAATAGATCTTTTCTCAAATTTATTTTTATAATCCAAGTAAATTTTCTTAAGAAATGGAAAATCATCCAACAGAATGATTTGGTTCATTGTAAAAGTTATTTTCGAGTTTTAAAGATGTTGTACCAAAACAAGGTTATTATATCATTCATCGCTCTTACCTGGGAGATGACCAATGTGTAAAATATTATAACCCAAAATCTTTTATTAAATTTAAATGTTAAAATATATAATATATTTTAAAAATGATTATTAATCTTTAACCCAATAAATAATTAATAATCTAAGTTTTATTTTATGCCCAATCCCAAATATAATATAGCTATAGATTTGAACATCATTATGATATAATTAATTAACTCAATAAATAAAATGGAAACAAATTTAATACCCCAAATATAAGGTAGATAAGGATTTGAACATTTTTCATCTAATATATTTTTAAATACTAATACCCAATAAAAGCCCAATTTTACCATAGCATATAAAATAAATGTATTTAAAGAATAAGTTAATGTGCGAGGTCTTCTAACATGGAGAACAGTTTACGTTATAAGTCCAATCACAGTACTGACCAGCTTCGTTAAATACTAAACCAGATGGGCAATTCATGAGAGGATAATTCCCTACTCTACAATCCACGTACTTACTGTCATAAAACATAATTTTTTTTTAAACATCAAATATAATTTTAAAATTAATATAATTTTTCACACATTTTTATTTTCGAAGCTATTAATTACTCCTGACGGCAAATTAAAAAAATTAATAATCTTTATAAAACCTTTAAAAAGGTTATTTTTTAAATACTTGCAATCCGGTGGATAACTGGCAAACCCTGTTCTACCATTACAAATCTGATTAGTATTCGAGATGCAACCATTATTACCACCGGTTGTTACTGGAGGGTTAGTATGCTGCGTAGTATGCGCGGTTGTAACAGGAGGATTTGTAACAGGTGGATTTGTAACAGGTGGATTGGTGCTACCACCCCCGCAATAATAATTTAACTTATTTTGTACGAAACTAACAAGGGATTGAGTCTTTTCTTGAGATAACTCCCAAATCATCACCCCTTGATAATTATTTTGGCATGTCCATTGAATCTTATTTTAAGATGGGTTTAATTAAATACGATGGGCAAGGTTATAATTTTGCAAACATATAAATTTTTTTTCCTCCGTCAAATTTATTAAAACCTTAGCCTCCAGACTTCTTTCGTTGTCGTAACTCAGCCAATCTGTACCTATAACTGCGTAAGGAACCTTTGCAGTGTCATCCCAATATTCATTCCAATTTGAGTTACTTATCTTTTTTTTATAATAATAAAAAAAAAATGTGGGAAATTGAAGTAGGCAAATATTTTATCAATTAACATCATTCAAGGCCAAAAATCCATCACCAGATCCAACACCTACAGATGGCGCGCCAACGCTATAATTAGCGGAACTTTGTAATCGCCATGTACGACCATAAAATGCTAACCCAATTACAATTTTGTCACTTCTGAGACCCTTATTTATCCATTCGTCCGCGCATCCCTTCTAAAATATTATTTCAATTTTATTTTTATGGTTTTAAAATGTTAGAGACAATTTAATAAATTACTTTGACAAATTATAGATTACCGTTGTATAAGGTGGTTGTCCAAATAAAGGTGCGTTGTGTCCAGTGTTACTCTCCCACCCAGCTCCATGGAAGTCATATGTCATCAACAATACATAGTCTAGATAACTTTATATTTATTTGCAATATTCATAACATTTCTAAGAAGAAGGAAATAAATTAAAAAGTTTATTTCAGATTAAATATACAGATTTATAATTTATTTTAAGAGTTTGATATAAAATCACGATTCTCAATTTCTACTACCCATATTCTAGTTAGTTAAAAAAAATCATTTGGAATATTCACTTATTCATCGCGACTTCATCGAATCCAACAAAATTTTGAACACCAGCTGGAACGGCTGACATAATTAATAAATTCGATCCTAGAGTTTGTCGCAAAACCTAAATTTTATAGATATTGATTTAGTTTCGAATCATTTTCATATATTAAAAAACATATGGGCTCTTGATATTTGCCAATTTTACCCCGCCCTGATTCATAGCCAATGTTTTCAGTTCTGTTCTAAAATTGTCTTTATTTTATTTTTCACGGGAATTAATAGGGCTCATAGAACAGGGGCTTTATTTAAACTATAAAAACATAGGTCTAGCTATAAATTCCAAAAAAAATAATACGAGAATACATTAGAAGAGGCAAGAGATGTAGAAAAAGATATCCATAATTTTAGCTTAGAAACTTACTTGCAACAGTTTTCCATATTTTGCCTTTTCGCTCGCGTAGGGATATTCCCAATCAATATCGATCCCATGCAACCCATATTGTTGAATTACAGTTTTGCAGCTAGTAGCAAATGTTTGAATCAAAGCATCTGTACTAAGTTGACTGGAATGAAAAGGGATAGTATATAAGTGTTTTATTTTTTTCTGTATAATTTTAAAGTATTTACTCGAACATCCATCGCCAGGTTGCTCCTCCAACACTTGGTAGAATTTTTAAGTTAGGATATTTTATCGTTAAATTCTTTAATTTTTGGAAATCCGCTAATTATAGTGAAGAAAAAGGAAAAAAAAATATTTATACAATTTTTAAATTGATAGTAAATACGGCCTATTACTGATTTAATCAAAAAAATTTTATATATCAGCTGTTTTTACTTTAGAAAAAAAATACAAAGAGTTTACTAACCTAAATAAAAAAATATATTGGGGTCAGAGAGGTCAGAGAGGTCTAACTAATTTAAAAACGATCCAAAGAGGAAAATTATTTACAAAGCGAAGCAAAATCAACTGGAAAATTCTTTCTAATTGGATGTATCCGATGTTATAAAGAGTGTTAAATTAAGCATAATCACTGTAAAGCTATTTTTTTTTATATCCCTTTACATTTTAAAGGTAGATGCACAATCCCTATCTCTTAGAGTTATACAGCTGCGAATATGTTTATCAAATTAATATTAATATGTAAATATAGATTCCTTTACGTTTAAAAAATATCAAATATTTTTTCGTTGGAACATACCTGGGGAATCAACTCTAATTTTTCCATCTGCTCCTATTGGCACGAAGGCATAAAGTAGATGAGTGATCAAATTACCATTTATATTTGATATATCTAAATTCTGTTGGCTCCAGGATGGTATGTACCCGACAATAACTTTAGCCGACACTTAATCGTGATAGTTATTTTTGTTTTATGAATTTAATAATTATATAGGATATTTAACTTTTTTTTTATATCTTTAATTAATATAAATATTTTAAAATAAAAATTTAAATAAACTTAATTATATTTATAAATAATAAATTATGTCCCCAAATAGTCACAAGTCTAATAATCAGGATTTTATCATTGCAATAAAGTTTACAATATGTTAGCAAATTAAATCATTTATTTAAGAGCAATTTTTTAAAAATTTAAAAATTTGCATTTGCAGAATACTTACTCTATGAGTTGTAGAAAATCTTGCCATTGGCTTTTGAACAAATTTTACTTTTATATATTAATAATTTTTAATTGATTAGCCTTAATGATAATAGTGGTATATTCGGGATCAAGAATGAAAAACTACAAGAAATGTTCCTCCAAAAATAGAAAGACAGTTAGGAAGATGATGGACTTTTCCTTAAAAAAATTTATAAATTAACTTTGATATAATATATCTTTGTAACCTTAAGAATAAAAGAAAATTTTTTATAATATTTGTCCAACTTAAAACTTTTACTCGATTTTTAACAGTAAGAGAAACTATTAATTAGTAAAAAAATTTTGATGATATAATATATAATAATGATAATAAATATATTATACCATAGCCCAAGACGCAATATGTAGCAGCCAAAGTAAGATAAAGTGAAATCATTATATATTTTTTTTAAAAGATACTCTATCTTATTTTATCTTTTTTTTTAAAAAGAAAATAATTTTTTTTTTTACCAAAAAATATAAAAATGTAAATATTTTATGTTATATCTTTCTCTCTCTATATTTTATTATACACATATATAGGGCTTTCATGGCCTTCGATAAAATAGGGTATGTTGAATCAACTGTTTCAATTTTCGATCAAAACAAGGTATATAAAAACAGAAAATAGAAGTTTTTTTCAAGTATATATAAAATATAACCATATAACTAACACATAATATCTAAAAAATAAAATAGTGTTGTGCCAATTTTTTCTTCTTCTTTTGTTTCTTTCACCTGATCCAACATTTTTTATTTCTACCCATGATCCATATTATAACAAACCAATATTTAAAGAAGAAAAAAAAACTTTTAAAATATTGTATATATATATATTATTATTATATTAAATAAAGGGAAAGTGTGTGAATCCAATGTGACCATTAGGACGTGCTTAAAAAGTCAATTTTTAATTTAGACATACTCAATAGAAAAAATAAACGTTTGTACTCAAAAAATAGGTGATATATTTTTTGTTTATACCCAAATTCAGATTCAGATATTACTAAAACTTATGATCGAGTTGGAGTCGAATCTTGGACATAAATGTCCTGATTCGGACATAAATATCTGAAACCCCTGAACAAAAAACACTGGACAAAAATATCCTAGAACAAAAAAACGGTGAGACAAAAATACCTTCGGTCAATAGACACTGAAAAAAAAACGCATGTAAAAAAAAATAACCTCGGACAAAAAGATACCGGACAAAAATATCCCAATTTAATTTTTTTTAATGATTATATAGGGGGTTTTTTTTATATTGAATTATTATTCTTCACTTGTTTAAATATTTTAAGTGATAATTTTATAATAATCTTATATAAATCTTAGCATATTAAACAAATTTTGTCCATTTTTTTATATAATGATTCTGCCCCTTATGGTGATCAATTTAACCTTAACACTAACTTCGGGAAATAGTGTTTTCCTGTTTGATTACCCGTTAAATAGTGAATATTAACCCTACCCCCGTATCTTTCTTTCTACTATAACCCTAATCTTACGGCTAACGCTGCCCGCGAAAATCGGTAAAACCTTTAAATACTTACTGTCTGTATTCAATGTCGGTTAAATATTTTAGTACGAATTTTCCAGTCATCATTAAATATCTATACCTAATTTTTTTTTCCAATTTTGCATAAGGTGCTCATATATCTCTCTTCTCTATCGTCGTTTATTTCTACGTTTGATATCTATTTAAAATTAGATCAAATCATTTAATAAATTGTTTGTTTTTTGCGAATTTACCTATGATCGCTATTATAATATGGAAAAAAATACGGTCATTGATTTTCATATTAATAATAATAATCAAAATATAATCTTGAAATTCAAAAAAAAAAAAATAAACCAAAATTTCAAGGCCCGGGGCTGACCTACAATTTTATAAAAAAAATCAGAGATGTGCTATGCCTTACTTGATATTTTATGTTATAGTTCGGCCCGACCATATCCAATAATTTTTCATGCACATTTTTATAAATTTTTGAGTAAAAATCTTTTAGTTAAGAATGGAATGGAAAGAAACTAATATATTTTTTGCCTTTTCTTATTGAAAAATTATTAAAATTTAGATATTTATCCGAGGATATTTTATGCCGAGTGTCTTTTTAATCAGTGATACTTCTGAAATTTGTGAACTACCATCGCGTCACTCATTTTAGGCTTATTTAAATTGAATATATGGCTTTAAAAATGAAATTATTAAAAATCGATAAATTTATTATTTGTTAACCATATCGAATAAGAATATTATATTTTATAATTCGCACGAATACGAATAGTAAACCAATCAAATACGTGTATTTGTTTTGATGACCTAACTATATAGAGTGCGCGTAATGGCTTTAGACGAATTTTAACAAAATCAGAGCCTTTCTAACGAAGCGGATTATAATGCAATAGCTTCATTTAAATTTTTTGGAGGGTAGTAGGATGAGAGGGTTAACAAAAACTTTTAGTAACCAGATAGAGGATTAAGCATCATTGAATGATGGAGGGGTAAGGGGGGAGCGGTTTCTAGAAGGTAAAAATAATAATGGAACATATTAACCCAGCAAAGTTGCCAGATAAAATTTCTTCAAGAGCATCGTAGAAATTTTTATTATATATATTTTATATGGAAGTCTTAGCCCAACTCTTCCCCTTTTCGGGCCTACAGCTCACTTTTGCTCGGGGTTAGGATAGGTTCCAATGGTGACATATTCTATTTTGGTTCATGTAATAATAACTTATTATAATAATTTGAAATTATACGAACTCGGTTAAGATATTAATAAGAAATTAATTTATTCAATCAACTATCTTGAATTTTGTACCCAACAGTTCTTTAAATTTTTAAACCAACCAAGAAAGAAAACATTATAGCACAAATTATTCGCTGCATAGGAGTTTCTAGTATTTTAATATGGGGAGGTAGTGGTGAACAAAATAATATTTATTAAGTAAGTTTCCCCCTATAAATTTATTAGAGGTTTTATAATATAATTTTAAGAAAAATAATTTGGGTTTTTTTTATATAAAAATACCCTTTTTCCGCAAAAATTATAAATTATAGCGGTTATTTTAAAAGATTAATTGACTTTTGCCTATTTTTATTTCAAATTATTGGTTATAGCACTTTTGGGAAAGAGGGAGGTAGGGGGCTGTGTAAGAGGAATTTTTTTATTAGCTTAATGATATTTAACAGAACAGACAAATTTACGAAATGACAATTTTCTGTATTCCCCTCCCATCTCATTCACTTTCGTTATTCGCCGGAATGTCAGTATTTTTTAAATATTCAAAAAAATATTGCAAAAATCTTAAATGACTTTTGATAAGTAACGAAAAAATAATTTAAAAATGTGGCGCCCTCTGCATGCTATAAAACAAATAAAGTTTTAATAAATTCTGCAAAAAATGTATAAAAAAATACTTGCTAAATTTAATTTAAAATTTATGTTATTGGGATTTAATTTTTTAAAATTAATTATTTTCGGTCATTCGTGACTGATAATTTTTCTTAATTCTGCCTCTAACATAAAGGAATGCAATCTATTACTCACTTTTCTCCACTCAGTCTCTTCCAAGCATTAAAATGCGCACTGATGAGGCATTCGAATTAGGTTCTAGAGGCTCCATATTAATTTTAATTTTTTTTAAAAAGCGATATATAACTTTCATAATCGAAATATTAAATATAAAAGTATTTTTAGTTAACAATATGAAATCAGAGACGTATAAATACAATAAATAATACATATATTTAAATAATTTTCATAATCATCATCGTCAGCTGTTTTTATAGGATAAGTGGTTAAAGTAGTATGTATATAGTTCTTTTAATGGTACTCTGTGAGTTGGTGACAAGACATATATAATACCTAGATTGACGATTCATTCATTAAAATGCATTTTTAAGCGTCGTTAAAAGCAAATAAGCTGGACCCGCCATTTTGGTAACACATATAGTATTTATTCTCATGTTAAAAACTACTGATATTGATAACTTGTTTCCTTATTATCTCGATGATCCGGTAATTCTTTAATAAAGTTTGCATCAGATATAGCAATAAATTGGGCTCTCGTTTAAAATTTTAATAATGATTAGTGTAACCAAGATGGCGTCTCCAGCTGATTTGCATTGATGTACACTTTTAATAGAATGAATCGTCAGTCTAGGTATTATATATGTCATTGGTTGATTTATATGTAGTTGCAAAAATTTTAACTTCATATTAAACATTATTTTTAAAATGATATTAAAAAACATCTTTAACAGAAATGCATTGTCGAGTGGAAAACCGTCCTAATGAGTTGCCCATCTGACTTACAATTTGACGAAGCTCCTCAATATCGTGACTGGGTATACCGTTAGCCGTACCCCGTGTTAGAAAGTCACATATTTAACACCTTTTTTTAATTGGAACAATTAGATTTTTATTCAATATACTTCCTTGATTTTGAAAATAATAGACAGTCCTAATATTAAAGGAGTCCTTAAACATATTTTCGCTAATGATACCCTTGCTAATTTTTCCGAAGAGACCTATAGCAATGCTCAAACACCCGATTTATTAATTCCACAACTCGCATTGTACCTCATTTCACATAGGAAAAAGTAAGAAAAACAATCCTATTTTTTAATCGCGTTCTACTCACGTACTTGATGGTATCCAATCAATCTTCCTTCAGGACATCACCACTCCATTGATATGTACATATACTCAATTCTCACAAAATTGCCAACATATTTAATAAAATCTTAAACAGAGACTTCTCCAGTTTCGTTACCTCCTTACTCCTTGGTGCCAAACTCCTAGCCCTTTAAAACCCCCAATGAGGACAACCGACTCGTCACCATTGGTTCAAATAATCGCAGATTGGTAGCAAAAGCAATTTCTTCAAGAATCTAACACAAAGCCTGTCACATACTCAGCCCTGATCAATTATGTGTAGGCGTACCCAGTGGGTATGAAACGGCAGTACATTTTACAAGAATTTTCCTTGAAAATAATCTAAAAAATAAAGCTCTCGTTCGAAATCGATTTTTCTAATGTTACGCATAACCTGTAGAGATAAAAGATGTAAAAAAGAGGAGGGATGAGAAACGGGAAACAAATTCTGGGATTTTAACATAAGAGAATGTACGACTTATTTTTGGATTTATATTTAGTAGTGCTGTTAAACGGCTCGTTTTGAGCCGATTTTTAAAAACGGCTAACACAGTATTTTATACAGAAAAATATTACGCAAGCCTGAAAATTTTGTTCATAGAAGGAGCAAAGGTCTAGACATATAGTATCGAAATTTCGAGATTGAGTCAATATTTTTCTGGCGAAAATATTGAGTTAGCCGTTTTTAAAAATCGGCTAAAACGAGCCTTTTAACAACATTAATATTTAGTAGCGATAGTCTTAAATATTGTGCCGATTTGCAACTCATGCTTGAACGGTAGATCTTTGAGAAGATTGACTTAGATCTCTTAGAAAATATAATCGTCGATGTATTAAATAATTTTTAAATAATAAGAAAGCCTGATAAGCTATTAATTCATTTAAAATTTAATCTCTTAGTAGAATTAGTTTGGTCTAAAAAGACCCTTATTGTAGTGCCACCACCAATAGAAGAACTAAGATTAGTAAATTCCTTAATGAAAAAATATTTGAAAGAGACATTTTTGATAATAGAATTGTTAAGAAAAGAATTATGGATTTGACTTGTTAAGCGATAAATCTGTAATGTGTTTAAAATTATTAATAATGTCTGGAATGTTAATTATTGCAAGACCAACAATGTTGCTATCGTGTATTTAATAAAAGGTTTAAAATTTGAATAAAATCTATTAGTGTAAATATAAGCTTCTCCTTGTTGCATACTTTCACAAGAAATTAAAATTTTTATTATAGAATTTTAATAAATGGGCTCGGAATACAAAATAAAATTTCCTATTATGAATAGTTACTGCAAAATATTGTTATAAAATGATTTTTCTTTTGATAGAGAATTCTTAAGATTAATTTTTAAAGAATAAAGTTGAATTTGCATAAGCTAGAAACATTCGTGTGGTATACGCTGCAGTGTGCCCTCCTTTAGTTCCAAATCACATTTAATTAGATTGAAGTGATGACATTAGGGATGTATTGGGGGGGGGGGGGTTAAAAAGTCCACCCCCCCCTCCCACTAATCTACTTGTTATTTTTAGCCCCTTTCCCAAATTTTAAGAAGGGGTTGAGACTTCTTACCAAAAATCTTTTAATATTTTTTTCAAAAGTGTTATCCTTTTTACTTTATAATTGGTATAAAAGTCAAAAGGCTTATATAGTCCCAAATAGAATTTTTTTAGAGTAAACTCGACAGATTTAATAATTATTTTACAGTTAATGTTACTTTAGTTAATTGCATTAAAGGTGGGTTCAGAGAAGATCCAATCGCTATTAAGTGTAAGTTAAAATATTGTATTTTAGAAGATTATAGCTATGAGTTGGAGTTTGTATTATATCTATATTACATCATTCAAGACCAAAGACACAAGATCTAGTCCCTAAAAACAATGCACTCATAACATATTTAGATTTTTAATCGCCTATTAGGATCTTAAGTTGATAACAGTTATGAATTCATCGCTATTTATCCTATTTTTTCTATTATTTCATGCAAAAGCCAAATAACATTTATTTAGTTAAATAATTTACTAAGGATTCGTATTCATAACACTATTAATGTTATTATTTTTATCGCGAAAAAAGCCAATAGTGAATAATTGGACACGTTATTAATTACTTTTAAATTTTATTTGTACCAGTTATATCGTCGTGCAATAAGATAAATAAATAATGGAATAATTTCCTATTAGTGAAATAATAGAATTAAATAATAGAATCAATTGCATAAACCGCATAATAAAATATAAAGTGGTAAAATTAATATAAATAATTGCTATATCCCAAAATCATATTATGAAAAGGTATAATAAATAAAATGTTAATGTCATAATTATACAATCGCGAATTTATTACACAAAACTAATGGTTAAATCACCCACCCACCAACTTCAATAAGGCTTATCCAAGTTTTTATTCTAAAACTTAAAATCTCAACTTGAAGATTGAGACTCATAGTTTAGGATTAAAACTTGGCTGATTTAACAACACTGACTCAGACATGAGCTTGATAGTGGTCCATCTCTACAGACCTGACTTCTACACATACTATGATTCTTTACACTTATTATTATAATTTACATCTATGGTTAAAATTTAAAATTATAAGGTACAATACAATTTTTTAATTAAAAAAAAACATTTTAAGATTTGTAAATCTAATCAAATAATAAAAGTTGAAATTGAATTTTTATACCCAATCCCATAATACAATATAATATATATACTAGTACCTAAAAAATAATAATAATAAATATAAACTAAATTTTGCAATAGCATTTTTAAAACTATGTAAAGAATAAATTCTATGCGTGAGGTCTAACACGGCACACAATTAACATTATTTTCCCAATCACAATATTGACCAGCTTCATTTAGTTGTAAATTTGATGGGCAACTGAATATGGGATGGCCTACCAATCTGCAATCCACGTACTTACTGTCATAAAATATTTTTTTGTATGAAGGGTTAAAAAATAAAATTTTCCTATTAAAAACTATTTTTTAAAGAAACATAAAATTTTTGTTGTTCTTTGATACTTGCAATCTGGTGGATATTTGGCAAGCCCTGATTTGCCCAAACAAATCATATTAGTATCCACGTTGCAACCATTAGAACTTCCGGTTGTCACAGGAAGATTTGTGTGTTGTGTAGCACCTGAGGTTGTAATTGGAGAATTTGATAAAGGTAGAAGTATGCTATCTTCCCCGCAAAAAGATTCCGATTTGTCTAGGACAAACTGACTCGAAGATTTGTTATCTTCACCGCAATAAGATTCTAGTTTATCTTGGACGAACTGACTTCGAGATTGGGTTTTTTCTTGGGATAATTCCCAAATCATCACACCTTGATAATTCTTTTGGCATGCCCATTGAATCTTATTTTAGATGAGAACATGAAGGATAGGATATATAGACATTTCTACAAGATTTAGTGATCATTAAATTTATCAATAATTTTGTTATGATATAGACATATCCATATAGCATTTTCGATATTCATTCAAATTAATTAAAACCTTAGCCTCCAAGCTCCTTTCGTTGTCGAAGCTCAGCCACTCTGTTCCTTTAACAGCGTAAGGAACTTTCGCTGTATCATCCCAATATTGGGTCCAAGCTGAAATATTTATCTTTTATAAAATGAAAGAAAAAGATAATAAATCGATTTTTCCCGAGAGATAAACATTTATCTCTTTACATCATTCAAAGCCAAAAATCCATCACCAGATCCTGCACCGACAGATGGTGCGCCAACGCCATGATTACTCGAACTTCGTAATTGCCATGTACGACCGTAAAATGGCAAACCAATTACAATTTTTTCGCTTTTGAGACCCTTTTTTATCCATTCGTCCACGCAACCTTTCTTAATAAATTGTTACATTTTTTCTTTGTGGTGTTAAAAAGTTACAAACAATTTAATAAATTTTTTATTTTGATATCGAAATAAATTACCGTTGTGTAGGGTCCTGTACCAAATAAAGGCGCGTTATGACCGGTGCTGCTTTCCCATCCAGCTCCATGAAAGTCATACGTCATCAACAATACATAATCTAGATAACTTTTATACATCACTACTAGTTACTTATTTATAATATGCATATAATGAGTGAAAAGGTTAAGAATTATGGCCAGGGAATTATTTTAGACCTTAAATATTTAAAATGGATGTTTTTTTTTAGATTGTATGGTTTAAAATTATGATTTTTTTTTAATCTTCTATCAACTACATCTAGACAGAGATATAAAGTAAAAAATTATTTAAATTTATTTGTTTGTTTTACTTATTCATCGCGACTTCATCGAACCCAACAAAGTTTTGAACACCAGCAGGAACGGCTGACATAATTATTAGATTTGCTCCTAATGTTTGTCGCAAAATCTAATTTTTTTTAGTACATATTCCAATAATTTGTTTTAGAATAAATGAGCTCTTTAATTTATCCAAATGTAATGGCCCTTATTCTTACTATCCTTACCCTAATTTAAAATTTCTGATTTATATTTACTAAATCTTTTCAATAAGATTCCTTATTTATAAACAATTATAAAGTTTAAGCCATTTAAAATCTTTTCTAACACCCAAAAAATATATCTAGGAAAGTTAAGACCGTGGAGCCTGGTTTCATTTATTACTTAAAAGATAAATGAAAAAAAACAAAAAAACGAGAAAAAAAAGTACTAAAAATAACAATGCCACTAAACACTTAAAACAAACCAAAGTAACCTTAACTAAACATCTATAATAATCATAAATACAAACCAAAAAACAACCTATTTCTTATTATCGGTTAAGAGGCTTACCTTTAGTAATTTTCCGTGTTTAGATCTTTCGCTCCCATAGGGATATTCCCAATCAATATCTATCCCATGCAATCCATACTGTTGAATTACAGACTTGCAGCTAGTCGCAAAAGTTTGAATTAAAGAGTCCGTGCTTAGTTGGCTAAATAAAAAATACAAATAAAAAATTATTTAAAAAATAGTTGCTCATATTTATTTTGCAATGCAACTTACTCGAACATCCATCTCCAAGTTGCACCTCCAACACTGGGCAGAATTTTTAAATTAGGATATTTGATTGCTAAATTCTTCAGTTTTTGGAAATCAGCTATTATTCATTTTTTTTATTATTAAATAGTAACAGGTTTAACTTATATGACACCAAAAAGAATAAATAGGAAGTATATATAAATCCTATAAAAAAAGATATCAGCTGTTTTTCAAACAGAGGGAGGGTGCCGTGATATTCCCCGCCTTCGCTGCACTTATGGGTCTATTATAAATTTTAGGAAAACGAAAATCTACCCAGATTTTTGTATAATTTTACCTTCAAAAAATTATATAAAATTTTTAATTTTTTATTAAAAATTCACCTGGGGATTCAACTTTGATTTTTCCATCTGCTCCTATTGCCACAAAAGCATAAAGTAAATGGGTCATCAAATTGCCATTCACCTTCGATATGTCCAGATTATTCTGACTCCAAGATGGAATGTAGCTGACAATAACTTTGGCCGAAGCTTAATTGTATTTTTTTTTAATCGTATAATTATTTATCTATATCAAATCAATTATATTTGAAAAAATGTTATATCCCTGCTCGTAAAGCTATCCTCAAAGATCTGCCTAAAAATTTTGAGGCTGTTTCATCCAGTTAATTATATATCGAATTGTACAACTTTAAAAGTGTTTTTAAGGGTCAATATATGTTATATCCTTTTTTTTCTTCTATTTTTACGATTTATATATAAACAACATAAATAACAATAATATTATAGAATTCTATATTTATGGGTATACATATATAATTTTTTTTTTTTCTAATCTTTATACATTAGTTAAATTTAGAACTTATCTGATTTTGGTCAAAAATAATCGAAATATCAAATAAAATATAGTCTGAATTAGTATTGTTAAACGGCTCGTTTTGAGCCGATTTTTAAAAACGGCTAACTCAGTATTTTAGCCAAATATTGCCCACGCCTCGGATGTCCAAGCCTTTGTTCCTTCTACAAACAAAATCTTCAGGCTTGCATAATAGTATTCTGGATGAAATATTGAGTACCGTTTAACAACACTAGTCTAAAAAATTGGTCAATATTTGCTATCTCTCAAACGAGTTTAGCTTTATGCAAAATGGGAATAATTTTTAACATTTTTTGGCAAATATTATTTTAGTATTGGAATGAAGAATATAAAACATCTGGATACGACACCTTTAAATTAAAGATAATTTTACTTAACTAAAATTTAATTTGTAGTATTTATTTATTATTCATAATACCATATCCCAGGATACCGTATAGAGCAGCCAATGTAAAATAAAATTTTATAATCATTTATATTTTAGATAATTATAATAGATAAAAAGTAAATATTCTATGGTACGATTAATTTACATACACTATATATATATTAGGGTTAATATATGGCCCTTCTACTAAATAAGGCATGTTGAACCAACTGTGCCTACAAATTATTTATATCAATTTTTATTTTTATGGAGAGCTCTATTTTTGTAACCTGTTCAAGGCAACATATATATCAAATGTGATCCAAAAATATCAAAAAATTTGCGCCAATTTTGTTTTTTTTTTATTTAAGATCCAAATGCCAAATAATATATATATATTTTTTAAAAATTTTCAATTCTATTTTTAACATCGCAAGAAAAATAGGTATTGATATAATTTTTTTATCAAAGTATTGGAAAATGAAAATTAAAAGATATCTGAAAAATTAATTATATAAAAAAAATTAGAATCAAATTAATGTTAACTATGCCAATTTAAACTTTGTATTTTAGGTTAATCACTGCCGGTTTTAGCCTCTGAGCATGGGGCAAAAAAAACCTAATTTATAGACGTTTGAGCACTCTTAGATGGGTAAATAAGACTTTTTTAGATCCTCTCCCTCTAAAGGTTCCATGTCAATTCAGCGAAAATTTTATTACGAATCCACATTAGCGAATAGTTTTCTGAGAAGACAATATCGCGATTTTTTATAGCGAAACATATAAAGCGAATACTTACAGCGATACTTTTATGGCGAAAATTTTATAGCGAAGTCATTATCGCGAAACCCAAATCGCGAAAACTATTTGGCGAAATATATCGCGAAGATATTATAACGAATTTAATATCACGAGGTCAATATTTCAATAATTGTTTAGTGTTGTTAATTAGTCTAGTTCTTTCGCCTACGATAGTCGTAGTCGAGTCGACTAAAGTTGATTCATATTCGAGCAGTTTAGTCGGCTTAGTTTATACATTGTCGACTAAATAGAATTTTAGAGCTGAACTAGCATTATTATATATTGGGGGGTAAAAATTAAATTGTAAACATGGTAAATTGAGATTTCAGTGAAGATGAACTATAGGAAAGTTTATTTTCATATAATCCTTATTTCTTAAAGTTATTTTGAAGCATGAGTAAAAATATATATTATAAACATGTCAATAGTATTTCAGCGAAGATGCATCATGGAAAAGTGACAATTGTCATAATGGTTATTTTTAAAACATTTTTGAATTTTTTTGAAGCAAATGGGTACAAATATAAAATTGTAAACATGATAAATTAAAATAATGAGGATGTACTATAAAAAGTGACAATTGTCATAATCGTTATTTTTCAACTTTTTAGAATTTTTTTCGAAGCAAATAAGTAAAATTATAAATTGTAAATAAGTTAAATTAAAATTTAAATAAGATTTTACCATAATAAAGTGACAATTGTCATAATGGTCATTTTTAAATTATTTCTGAATTTTTTTAAAGCAAATGGGTAAAATCATAAATTGTAAATATGTTAATAAATGAGGATGTACCATAGAAAAGCGACAATTGTTTATATTCGTTAATTTTAAATTTTTGAAAATTTTTGTATTAAATGGGTAAAAATATAAACTGTAAACATGTTAAATTATGGAATTTATAAAGTGTTCTTTATTCGTTGAATGATAAGTTATTTTATTTTTATACAAAGATTGCATTCAAGATTAAACGAAAAGATATCCGAAAAATAATAAATGTTAATTTAGATTATATCTTGCAAATATTTGTTTAGAAGCGCACTCTTAGGTGATGGGCATAAAAAAAAGATAACAACAATCTAACCATTTTGATCGTGGTGTGAAATTTCTCATAAATGAAAAATAGTTTTTGGCTTATAAGTTTATAGTGATAGAAAAATCTATCTAGAAATCCTTGTTCCACTTAACTATAATAATTAAATCTATAAACGCTAAACAAAAATACACAATTTAATCATGGTGAATTAAAAAATTATTTTTACTCACTTTTATAGTGGCAGAAAATTAATTCCAACCCAAAAATAGGGAAGATTGATACATAAATATTCATTTTTTTTAAATAATTTAAAATTTATATAATCTAAATTTTTAAGATATTTTAAAATAACTACAAAAGTAATAAAATTATTTACAAAAATAAATAAAATACCAAAATAAAAATAGCAACTAATTTCAGATGTGTAAGAAAATTAATGTATTGCATATTTAGTTTTTGATAATAAGTTATTCCCCAAAATTTTTAAGCATTCTCACTAAATATCGATATTCTTAGATTTAACAACTTATTTAAGATTACACTTTGCTTAGATAATTAGATTCCTCCTTGTATATATTTATTTTAATTAAAATGTGCATAAATTAGAGGTGTTCACGACACCAATCATGTTAGCATTAAATACTACGCCTGATGTTCAATTTTTTTAGCCAGATCGGCCCAATCACGTAAGGCAGAATTTTTATCATGCCCATCATTCCCAAAAAATTTACGGCTTATTTTTAAAAATGTTATGATTCTGCGTCATTTATTTCCATATTCTTATATACTAAGAATTCACCAATCAAGTCATATTTATAAATCAAAGTCCTTATTTAAAATTTATTTTAGATCTGACAAAATTTTATTGCACTAACTATTGAAAAAAAAAAGATGAGAGATTGACAAAATTCAAAAACTTTTAATGAAAAAAATGAAATGAGCTTCTTTTTTTATTAAATTAAAAAA